AACTGTAATCCTTCGGGATCCTCTTTCCTATTGGATGAAAACAATTTGCAGCATATCCATGTATAAGTTAATGTCTGACTTCCCAGAGTCTAGGCCCTAATCGAAATAGTAAAATCAATCACTAGAGTGGGGGATTGGTAAACTGTCTGGCCCATCACCTGTTTTTTATAAATAAAGTTTTATCGGACACAGCTGAGCCTGTTCATGTATGTATGCCTGTGGCTGCTCTTGCGCCATAATGGTAGAGTCGAGCCATTTCAGCAGACACCGTACGGCCTGCAAAACCTCAGAAATTTGCATGTGGCCCTTTACAGAAAAAGTTTAACAATGCCTGTGCAGGAGAATTCAATAATCTTCACATGGGCCTTTTAGGCAGAGCTCCAGTATAAAATTAAAAAGTCTTGCAGTCAGCCTCTGGCCTTCTTGGCAATTGTTGGATAATTTTTCTTAGCATTGTCTAGGCCGGAAGGCTTATGTGTTTGAGAAGTTTTTGTTAGGTCTTTGATGACGCCTCTTTTGAATGAAAGGACTGACCCTCTGATGCAGCCCCACCTCAGGAAACGGGCCCCTTCCTGTTCTTGCAGGTGCCCTGCCAGAGAGCGTGGGACTCTGTGGACCTGAGATCATTGTCGTCTGCCTTATATATTGCTTCCTCCCATTGAGTTCCAGCCACCAGGTCCCCACAGACAGATCAGTATTAATGATGATGATGATAATAGTAATACCCCCTGTAGCTAACTTCTATCAAGCTTTAAAATATGTCTGTCAAAGAATCTGATGCTTTACAACCACATCACCCCGTTTAGTTCTTGCAACAGCCTTAAGAAGGGGATGAGAGGTTCTCATTATACAGATCAGAAAACTGAGGCCCCCATGGGTTCTTTAAAAAAAATCTTTATGGTGCACCAGCTGGGCGGTGCTGGGCACTGTGTCACCAAAGCTGAAGGCACGTCACTCCTCCTCCCTGTCTGCGTGAATTCTGTCGACTGCCAGCGTTTTTCTTCCGACCCGGGAATGTCAGGTTCGGAGCCAAAAGATGAAGATTCCAGTCTTGGCCCTTTTGTGTCTCAGCTGGGTCAGTCTTTCTTGCCTCTGTGAGATGGAAAAAATGCTACTTACCCTCTGCCCCCGCTGGGGTCTTTGTTACATTTAAGTAAGAATCTAAACAGTGGTGTATAAACCCTAAAAAAGCCAACACAGACATTGGTGGGTTCCCTGCTCCCACCCTGCTCCTATCAGAGATTTTTAATTCTTTTTGGATCTATGTAAAAAATCAGAATATTCACCTATGTGTGCATACTCCAGATTTTCCAGGGAGTTTGTGGAGCTCCTGCGACCAGAAGTACTTGAATGAGTCCTTGAGCCACTGACTAAAAGCAGGGGCTTGGAACTGCTCCAGAGTCTTTCCTTTGTCCTTCCCTCCATCTAAATGGACATGTGTCTACTGAACTCCTACTGGGTGCCGGGCTCTGTGTTAGGGGTAGGTGCTGTGAATGGAGCAGACGTGGCCCTGGCCCCAAGGACTCCCCTCTAGACAGACAATCAACAAGCGGCCAAGGTAGTTTTCCCAGAGTGATAAGCTCCATAAGGAAAAGGCAGTAAGGTAACGTGTTAGAACGTGGGTTGAGAAGGACAGGCAACTTCTGCTGGGAAGACGCCGGAAGGTCTTTGGAAGGAGTTTAGAGCTGGAGGATAAGAAGGAGCCAATCATGAGGGGAGGAGGGATGCTCCAGCCAACCAGAACAGGACAAGCAAAGGTCCTGAGGTAGGACTAAACGGGGGAGGGTGGGCGTGGGAGGGTGCAGAGAGGAGGCCACTGTGGCTGCTGCCCCGGGGCTGGAAGAGGGCTTGGTGAGGCCGGCGGGGATTAGGCCCCCCTGGGCCTGGAGACCTTGGCAAGGAGGATAGTTTCATTCTCTAAGCTTGAACTGTCCAATATAGGAGACAGTAGCCACCTGTGGCTATTAAAAATGGAAATTAACATGTCCTGTGCATGTAACAAAACATCACATGTACCCTATAAGTATGTAAAATATTACATATCGATAAAGT